AGATGCCCTTATTTATTTGGATGGTATAAAAAACAATGACTCATGACCAAATAAATATAATGACGCTTAATCGTTGATTAAACGATTTTTTTTTATCATTGACAGTCACATGAGAATATGAGAATAGGAAAAAAGGGAGAAAAGGACTATCTGAATACATATAAGGCTTAAAATTTTATATGCGTAGAAAGACGTCACTATGAAAATATATGCATGACTTTTCTCTACATTGATGATGATATACACTGTCATGAATGCAAAAAATACATACATCTCTCTCGTCATTTATACGAAAATATTTTTTTGCAAATTTCTCCTTGCTAGGCGATCAATGATTATATAAAGTCGAAGCACAACTGTGTAAACATACCATTCAATTACTTATTTATATTTATCTGTCAATTTCTCTTCAAGCACCGAAAAGCCACAAGTATCAATGAAGCAACTCATTCAAATAGTTTATTGGATCATCTTTTTGGTATTGGCAGCAACATTCTTCATTGCACAAGCAGTACCACTGGAATATAGAGATGCTAAACGTTTGCAACGTCATACACTGTACAAACGTACGATTTTTTCATTTACCACAAGGTTTTAGGTCTTCGCGCTGGTTATATAATCTACTCTAAATCTTTGCTTCGAATTGAACAAAATATTTGAACAATTGTTTCTTATGAAGTATTCCTTGATCGTACATTTCTCAATGATATAGTCAACTCCACATCTGTGCTCTGAGTTGAACGAAATATTTGAATAGTTGTTTCGTATGAATTATTTATTGATTGAATATTTCTTGATGATAGAATCAATCCCAAACCTTTGCTCTGAATTGAATCAAATATTTGAATAAATGTGTGGTTCGAATTATTCTTTGACAGAGTGCTCCTCAATAACATAATCAACTCCGAATCTTTGCTCTAAGTCGAACAAAATATTTGAGTAGTTGTTTCCTATGAATTATTTCCTGATGGAGCGTTTCTCGATGATATAATCAACTTCGAATTTTCGCTTCAAGTTGAACAAAATATTTGAATAGTTGTTTCGTGTGAATTATTTCTTCATTGTGTGTTCCTCGACGATATAATCAACTTCAAAGATTTTCTCTGAACTGAACAAAATATTTGAATAATTGTTTGCTATGAATCATTCTTTAATCATGTGCTCTTCAATAATTTAATCAGCTACAAATGTTTACTTTGAATTGAACAAAATATTTAAATAGTTGTTTGCTATGAATCATTCCTTGATCGTATGCTCCTCAATAATGTAGTCAAGTCCAAATGTTTACTCTGAATTGACCAAAATATTTGAATAGTTGTTTCCTATGAATCATTCATTGATCAGCTGTTCTTCGATGACATAATCAACTCCAAATCTTTGTTCTCAGTTGAATAAAATATTTGAACATTCATTTTATATGAATTGTTCCTTTACCAAATGTTCCTTAATGATACAGTCAACTTCAAATCTTAGCTCTGAATTGAACTAAATATTTGAATAGTTGTTTGGTATGAATTATTTATTTATGGAATGTTCCTCGATGATCTAATGGACTCCGAATCTTTGCTCTGAATAGAACAAAATATTTGAATAGTGGTTTGGTATGAATTATTTATTTATGGAGTGTTTCTCGATGATCTAATGGACTCCAAATCTTTGCTCTGAATAGAACAAAATATTTGAATAGTTGTTTGGTATGAATTATTTATTGATCGAGTGTTTCTCGATGACATATGAACTCCGAATCTTTGCTTAGAATTGAAGAAAATATTTGAATAGTCGTGTCGTATGAATTAATCCTTGGTCGAGGGTTTCTCGATGATACAACCAGCTAGAAATCTGTACTCCCAATTGAACAAAATATTTGAATAGTTGTTTGGTATGAATAATTCCTTGATCGAGTATTCCTCAATAATGTATGAACTCCGAATCTTTGCTTAGAATTGAACAACATAATTGAAGGGTTGTTTGGTATGAATCATTTCTTAATGGAGTGTTCCTCGATGATATAGTCAACTCCGAATCTTTGCTCTGAGTTGAACAAAATATTTGAGTAGTTGTTTTCTATGAACTATTTCTTGATGAAGTGTTCCTCGATGGTATAATCAATTCCAAGTCTTTGCTTTGAATTGTGCAAACTAATTGAATAGTTGTTTGGTATGAATAATTCCTTGATCGAGTATTCCTCGATGATATAATCAACTCCAAATCCTTGCTTCGAATTAAACAAAATATTTGAATAGTTGTTTCCTATGAATTATTCCTTGATTAAGTGTACCTTGATGATATAATCAAATCCTAATCTTCGCTCTGAATAGAACAAAAAATTTGAATAGCTATTTCGTATGAATTATTCTTTGATCGAGTGTTTTTCGATGATATAATCTACTCGAAATCTTTCCTTTGAACTGAATAAAATATTTGAATATCTGTTCTTATTATTCGTTCATAATGTAGTGTATTTGAAGAGGCAGATGCCCATCATCATTTCTTTCAAGTGAGAAGTATATTTGGATAGAATGTTTAAGTCAGGTATGTTGTGCCGATATAGATTGTTGATGCTACACCATTGAGAGAATATCCTGATTATATATTTCATCATTCATATTTTCTTCTATGAGTTTATTATAATTTGAAGTACTTTATGATCTTGAATTAATTCAATAATTTTGTGAAACATGTTCTAAAATAAGTTCTAAAGTATAGGAATAAAACTTTCAACCTCCTTCCCTATACAGAACGTGATAAACGCTAGCCAGAGACCATCATCTACTGTGGCAAGCATTGTTGATATATGGTCACAGACTATAAATCCAAAAATCTCTTGTTGTAATATATGAATTAGTTCCTTATTGCATTTTTGAAGAATTAAACGCAAAGCGAAGAAATGTGTCATTTTAATCCCATACAGATTATGCTAACAGCTTTTGTTTTCTTTGTAGGACATATGGTGCAAGCACAACTTCACATTCTTAAATGGGGTGATACCATCAACTGTAATCAAAATCAACAAACATTATCTAGTAGATAGCTTCCTTTTTTTTAATAATCTGAACCTATTTGTTTTCTTCTTTCATAATCGCGACAAATTTTTCTCTTAATTTTTTCTGGATTGTTTCATAATTATCGACTTTAATGAGATACACATAAAACATATTTCACTTGGCTTTTTGATGACAATAACTATCTAGAATTATTATGAACAACATGTCATTGTCTTTCATTGCTCAAAATCAAGCACTCAGCCAATGATTGTTTCGATGACAGTGATGGAATTAGTTTTTAGAATCTTTCTGCGATACAACTAAAAGAGCTTAGAATTGCTACAAACGAGTTCAATCTTTTGAGAGTAATGATCTCATCAGAACTTCTATATACTCCATTGATGTTTGCTTCAATTAGAGAATGATGAATCCTTTCATGCTTCAAGCACAACTCTAGTCCATAGGCACAATCTTCTTCGATTGTCTGAGACTCGAGCATGGGCTTCTTTCAAGCATTATATAAATTGAACACTTGAAAGGTATTAAACAAAACCTTAATTCAAGATTAAAGCAAATGTTTCAATCAAAGCAACAAATCGTCATAATAAAATTGATTTGCTGAAAATTTTCTCCAAGCATCTTCAAAATTTAATATTTTCTGTAAAAGTCCATTCTACTGAGTTCAACAAGAAACATGCACTTAATACCATTTTGCAAGAAAAAGAAATTGAAAGTTTCGATTGTTCGTTGTTCGCGTTGATGGCTCTTGCTACTACATCTATTAAATAAAAAATAAGAACAATAATGATTTTTTTTTGTTTCATTCCATATGCTGCATGCTAATCCTATTCCGCTAAAGTTGGAAAGGTGTGAGGATGCGAGAGATAGTGTTGATGTTTCTGAGTTCAGTAAGTCATTACGGATCTCAAGAGTTCAAGAGGAATTTGATTTTGCCGCAAATTCAAAACAAAAGAAACATCTACAAAAAACACATTGAACACATAAGAGATAGAAACGGTATAGCGATAAATGGTATAATATGGTATGATGCACAGTGGAAATAAAAATGAAACCAGGGTCAATCTTTTCAATTACCGTAGCTAAAAACTTGGTATTTTGTGTAGTTATGCTACGCACTTGATACTGATTATCTTTGCTTATCTAGCCTCTTCCACTTATAAGACTACTAAAAAATAGGATTTTTATTGAATTTTTCCACAAAATCTCGTGGTCCCTCTAATGCCATGTTGAAAGTTGCCTTTTGAGTTTCGACTTGAAACTTTGCACAAATAATGTTCTTAATGTGACTAGTTCATTCTGAAAGGTTTAGCGGGTCTACGAAAATTGCTCGACGAGAAAAATAGTCGAGAAATTTCTTATACAAGACCAGATGCTTTCAGCTATATGAAAAAAAAATCAACTTATAAATTATTTATAATCGTTCTAATTTTTGCGACATTCCCATGTAAAAGTAAAGTGGATGTCGATCATTTTTCAGGATATTTACTTTCAAGCACCATAAAAAGTAAAAATAAAGGGTAGGTGCGGGTGTAGATGTGATGTGGGTTTGGGTTGGATATCCTTGCACTCTCGTGCACCGATATCCGTATCTACACTCGAGTATAATATTAACTGTCGATTTGAATATACTCCATATAAATTTCTTTGAACTCATTTTTTGTATTAATTCAGCAAACGTGTTCTAATTATTAGAACGTTCATAGTATGATTGTCATCCTTTTATAGTTGATTGCTTAATATGTAACTGATTCTTCTTAAAAAGATTTATTTTTCTTCACAATTTTATTCATTTGGGTCAAATCTAATTTTTTTTGTTATCACATGTTCCTCCTTTCTGTTCATATTTTCATAAGCAAACAAAGAGTCTCTTTCATCATCAAGATCGATTTTTTTATCTTTAACAACTCCAACGAAACGGAAATACAACATAAAAAAAAACAATCAAAGAACTTCTTGAACGAAGTACACATATACATATATAAATGTAGATATTTCCTATGAATCAGAGGATGATTTAATCATACTTGGATCTTCAATTCGACGAAATACTGCCAAATATTTATCACCTTTATTTCGTTCGACTTTTTTCCCTTCTTCAGTTGAACCAACAACATGTTCAATACATGGATCATTTTTAATTAATGGATCATCATTATTTATACGTTCAAATAATGGAAATTGTTCAAAACATGAACACATCCATTGATGTAAATCTAATACATCTGTACATGTATAAACTAAACCATCAACACGTAATAAATAAGCATATTCAGCAAGTAGTTGTTTATTAATAATTCTCCATTTATGTTTTGCTTTTTTAAAATGTGGATCTGGATAAAGAAAAAACATTTTTGTTAATTGACCTTTATGAAAATAATTTGGTAAATATTTCATTGCATTTGTTCGTAAACAATTTATATTTGTATATTGTCCTGGATACTGTTCACGTAAAGCACAGATACGATCAAGAACGTAATCAAGTACTTTCACACGTATTTCCATACCAAGCATTAATTTATCAGGAAATAATGGTGAAAGTGCAACAAGTAAACCACCATAACCGCAACCAATATCAACAAATTCAATCAATTGATTTTCATATTTTCGTCGTTTATTAGAAACTGAAGATTCATCATCGGCAGATTGTTCAGGAGATTTTATTATTGATGGATAATGTGATGACCAATCCATATCATCTGGTCGAATAGGATAATCAATTGAATGATCTGATAATGGATTCGAATGAGCTCGCTGTCGATAATATTTCTTTTGTGGTAATGACATTTTATCTGAAGACAAACGAAAAAATATATATCTATAAAAATCATTTTGTTTTTTCTTCTTTTTATTTTAAAATTCAATGTTTAACATTGTTTTCATTTCTGCAAACATTAAATACTGAATAAGTGAAAATGGTAAATATTTATCAAGTAGAACTGTTGATTTACTCAATGGATAAGAAAGATTTTTTCGTATAATTAATCGTGTTATATCTTTTAATCGTCTTGGTTTTAATAAATAAAATTCAAGTTCACCAATAAATCGTTCATAATCAACAATAGCATCCATCAGACTTGTTTCATTAGTTGATTGTTGTTGTTGATAATTACGATTTATATAAGGAAATGAACATTGCCATGCACGACATGGTGCACCAGCATAAAGTGCCATACGAGCATGATCATATAAAGCATAATGAACAGCTCGTGTTAAATAAGTATTACCAAAATTGTTTTTTAAATCAAGTCGAGTACCTTCAATAATCAGTTCGTGTGCTAAAATAAAAATATAAATTTCACCTAATATAAAAAAACAAAAGCAAAAGTAAGACATACCAAGTGTTAAATTACCACCATGGTGTAATGTACACATAAGTGGTGTTTCAAAACAATCATCTCGATGATTTATATTACAATCAAATTGAATAAGTGAACGAATAGTTTCAAGAAGTTTTTCTGTTGGTTGTTCGACAGCTTGATCACAGACAAGATGAAGTAAATTTTTACGATGTGTTGTTGTAACTACATTAACATGAGCACCTATAAATAAATATATATATATATTTCTTAAATTAAAAATACAAATAATTTCTTTTTGTTTTGTTTACCATAATTCAATAAAAGTTGTAAGAAATCGAATTCACCATCGATGGCTGTTAAATGAACAAGACGCATATGATGTGTATTATAAACATTCGGTGAAGCACCCGATTGTAAAAGATATCGAAAAATTTCTTTAGCAGTCTAATAGAATTCATTAAAAAAAAACAGACAAATGCATATCCTATTCATATACACATACCACTAGCGTACTTCAAACAAAAAAAAATTCTCATGCTTATTTTTATATAATTGATAAGCTTCTATCAATGGAATGATTGTATAGGAACGAACAGAACAATTGACATCACAACCAAGTTCAATAAGTGTTCGAACAAAAGCAAGATCATTACGACGAATAGCAATGATCAATGCCGTAACTGAATGTGTATACGGATAACCATCTATTGGAAATCCTAAAAAATACAGAATGATATAAAGAAAACTGAGTATCAGACAAAAATAATTACCATATTCATACAATAGACGTAAAGCTTTTTCTTGTTTAAATTTTGTAGCATAAGCACAAGCATCAAATTGTTGTTCGAGAAAATAATTTAATCGTTTTGGTTGATCATTTAAAAGATGTTTAATCTTTTTTATCTTTCCTTGATGAATGTATGATCGTAAGCGACTTATGTCAGCTTTCATTTCATTGTTAGCCATGTAAAACTCAACATAAAATGAAATTTCTTATCGTTCTTACTCAATATATTTTGTTTCAGTAAAATGAAAAAAAAACACTTTCAGTACATGAGAATTACACCAATAGAAATGCAATATATTTGTGAATGAAGACATGTATAAGATGGCGCACGTTCACACTCTAAGAATAAGAACTTCAGTTAACTTTTGCATGAATTATATGGCAAAAAAAGCCATTGCATCAAAACAGGGCGATATCAGCCCATTCTCAATCACAATTGACCTTTCTACCTTCAATGTTCAATGTGCAATTTAAAGAAAAAAAAAGACTATCTACACTTGTTGAAGATCAGCCTTGATGAAGATGAGAAAAAACAATAAAACACAAAAATATGTTGTAAAAAACTGTTCTACCGAAGAAAACATGTAGAATAAAAATTTCTTCGAATGCATCGTTAAATATAAGGTTTGTATCTTCATTCATAATAGTTTGCATATCAATGATAAAAAGTTTTTAAGAAAATATTTCGAAATATGTCTTTCTCGTTCAAAATAATCGTCAAGATTGCTTTAAATGCTAATAATGTTTCAAAAATGATTTCTTTTAATCAAACACTTTTCTGTGTAGAAAATAAATTAATTTTTGACACGTTATAAATATTAAGAAAAAGAAAACATATGTTTTTAAAACTATTCACAATTTCTCTAAGTATCTGTACAATGACCATTTTATTCTTTACTCAACGATGATGTGATATTCTTGCTTTTGCGTTAGTAATCACGATGGAATCATTTTTCTTTCTTCTTTTCATTCATTGTCATCCGATATATGTGATCGATTCCATTATTCACAACGCAGCTACATGTTCGAGGAGAAGACTTTCTGTGAGTTTGATGTCCACCTTTTCGCATGCAGATGTATTGATTGGGAAAAGATGGCATTCAGCTTATAAGGATTACGCCAAAACTACTTTACATCACAGATATGTCTTCTTATTCAACATATCATAATGAATACAAGAATTACTAAAAATCACGAGTAATTTTTGTCTCTTATAAAACAACACAAACTATGAACGATCATATATACTTCGTCGTGACTATTACTTTAGGTATGCTTATTACATTGACACAAGTGCTTATATTTCCAAAAAAAGAAGAAATTTCAGTTATTCATGTTCCAGTTTGTTCGATACTTCTCAAAATCATGCAGTACACAAAGTTTCTAAAAATTTTTGATTTACACTTCTATGCATTTAACATGCTGACAGAAGTTTCGATAACAAAGGGTAAAAAATAACAATGTATGGCTTTTTTTTCCTTTTGAAAGATGTTGAATTTTTCAAAAATGAGAATCAAAATACTGAGAATACCCTTAAAAACGCTTGCTCTTTGACTGATGCAAAATTCATAAAATCTACCAAAAACTACCAACAGAACATTTGTTCAAACAAAATAAAAATTTAGTCGAATTTAACCGTAGCCGGTATAATATAAGTTTCAGCTTAATCGGTCGTGGCTTGTAGAAGAACAAGAGCGAAAACTTTGATTTTACTCTTCAAAAGTGGATTTGAAAAAAGACGCAAAATATTGTGAAACATGATCGTCTGCATACATAAAAGTTTATATTTCTTCAACAAAATTAACTAAACACTATCCATGTTTAATAGTATGCGAGGTGTATGATTGATCCTCGTCGTTGTTTGAAACGTAAAATCACCATTGTTCTAAAGGAATTTTGTTAATACAATAGAGAAAAGTCACAGCGAATTTTTCCTACTAGGCTTTTCAAAATCGATTTTAATAAAAAAATAAGAAAAAGTAAACTTCATTTTTTAGAGTTGGACAAGGAGAGAAATGCTCTTAACTGGCATAATCGATGAACAATCAATACATTCGATTTCATTTCGTAGATTAAACTCTCGAACAAATAAGAGAGCATCCATGAGAGTATCGAGTATATGAGGCACTCGATTGTTTTCAAGAGTGCCGGTGGCTAATAATTTTTCGCAGACAGTACTCATAAATGCCCCCCTAATTTTCCCAAAAGTCAGAAGTGAAGAGCAAAAAAAAAAAGGTCTTCAACAAGATTTTCTAGGCGTACAGAAGTACCTCTGCGACAGCCGGGCTCTTTCAATTCGAACTCTAAACGCTACTAAAAATTTCGCAGATAAATAACAAGAAAATTTTCGCAGACACGCTCAAAAAGTGCCGGGGGCTAGCCCCCGCCACATCGAGGGGCCTGCCCTTGACTCATATTCGCTCTATAAAACTTAAATTATTAGTCATTATGTTATATCAATCTAGCTCATTTTATTCAGTTTTCAATTCTCTATCTTCCTATGTATACCACAAAAAATTTCAATGATTTGTTGAAACGTAAGCTAGCACATCTTTTATAGAATATTTTTTCTTACTTTTTCGAAAAAAAGGCCCGATAGTGCCAAAAGTTGGTCTTGACTAACCTTTCATAGGAAGATTATTAGAACCTAAAATTTTAGGGTTAGTAGTTTTAGATATTGAAGTTTTGAATGAGCAAAAAAAATCGAAAAAATAATTTTATCGAGTGCCTCGTATATCGAGCGATGCTCGATTAGCTCATGGAGGCTCTCATAATTGTTAGATTTCTCATGTATGTTCATAAATTTATAACGTTTTGACATGTTTGTCATGATTTTTGGACAATTTTATAACTGTCTTGATGATAGTATTAATGGTCAGGGAAAAAAAACATTAATATATTTATTCATACAAATCATCTTCTACAATATTTGTACTTGCAATAATAATTTGTTCTGGTTTGCAGAAATTTTATCTTAATGATACAAATGACAAACATATGATCTTGTAATAGATTAAAAAAGATAATCTGACTATTCAAACATTTTTTGGTTTTCTTTTAAATACACGTTTTAGTCAGAATTTATTGGATTTCTATATCATAACATACATTCTTGATTATTGAATGAAAATATGACGTTTAAACTTATTGATAATACACTGTAGATTAAAGAAAAGCTCATATTTTATTTAGCTTTTCTAATCTTATTTAAGAAAAAAAAATATGTATAAAAAAGTTACATGAAAACAAAAGATGGCTGGAAAAAAACAACATGGAAGTCATATTAATGGTTGCTTTATAACCAATAATATAAAGCTGCTGTCGTTTCATTCGTTCTTCCTTGTCGTCATCTGTCCTTAATAGTTAGAGAAAAAATATTAAAAAAAACCAACTTCAACTTTTAAAACATTTCTCCATTCTTTCCTAGATAGATATAAAAAAAATGTTGACATATATTTAAATTTTTGTTTTCTTATAAAAATAATATGAATGTATTTTTTAGACGTTGTATTCATAGACATTGCATTAGACTTTAATTAAATATGTCGACATGATTGCGCAATGTTACTTATATATGTACTTTCTTACTTATTTCGTAATTTTTTTTGTTATTTAACACAGAATTTTCATCAACCTATGCTCAAATAATCAATATGACCTTTTATAGTAGGCGAGAGACGCAACATTTCATCAGCCAC